TTGATTTTTCTTTTTCTCCATTTGCTGTCTAATCCTTCCATCAGTCAGCCTCTAACGTGCATTTTTGAATTCTTTAGGGTGTGGCCACTGCAAGAAAATGAAGCCAGAGTACGACGAAGCTGCTGAAATACTCAACAAGGGTGCAGATGTAAGTCTCTCGACCTTTCTTTGTTTGTTTACAGCATGCATATCTACAGGCCAATGTGCTTCATATCTCAGACTCTACTGAGCGTCATTAGCAGATCATAATAATCCCTCTTTTTTGGCTTTAAGGCTTTTGGCCATCGCAGCTTGACAGGCTGGTCAGCCTGACCAACAGCTTTTGATGCGTTTCTGATTAGTGGGCCGTGTTACTCACCTCTCCCCTCATTCTGTCCTCAGTGGTAATCTAACACTCCCCAGCCAGGGGCAGGGCCTATAAAACTGTAGCCTGGTGACTGTAGCAATTATCTCACCCGTGAACGTCCCCCCGGCCCGGCGCTTGGACCTTGTCCTTGTGGCTTTCTGCCCAGCACTGGAGGTCAATGGGAAAAGCCTGCACATTATCTAATTCGAATGGACGGGAGCCACTGTCACCCTGAGCTCTTTAGACCCAGCGTATCATTATTTTCCCCTCTTGTTGTTCTGCTAATGTTTCTAATGTAGTGCTTTTTTATACACAGATGGCGTAATCTTTTTCCCAATTTAGCTGGTGTCATCAGATAGGCTAGACTGAGTGACCGTTTATGCTCTAATTGAAGAGATTAGTCTATAGATCTTATTTTACCAGTCTGCTTTTGTAACGTCTGCAGAGTCCGGGTGTTTTGGCAGCAGTGGACGCCACGGTGCATAAGGCTGTGTCGGATCGCTTCAAGATCTCTGGTTTCCCAACGGTTAAGTACTTCGAGAAAGGTGAAGAGAAGTACACGCTGCCGCAGCTGCGAAACAAAGACAAGATCATCGAGTTCATGCACAAGTGAGTCCGACGCTTAACCGACAGCTTGATCGCTTCAAAAGTCGAGCAGTTAAGTGAAGCGCTGATTGGCCGTAGCACCGGCTTTTCAAGACTTCCTCCCACTGTGAGAGAATAATCTTTGGAAAGGGTCAAAAAGTAATGGACTTGCAATGACATCAGTCCAGCTGTGGCATCTGCAGGCTCCATAAAGTCATAGTCTGCAATCACAGGTCAGCAGACATAATTTTATATCGGGCTGACATAAAGTGTGACTCAGTGTGAGTTCCATTATATCACCGGTAGTTACATTGTAAGCTTTTACTCATTTATTCCTTCGCCCACAAAATAAAGACAAAAAATCTTGGTAGAA